GACTTGATGATCTTGTAGGTCCCTTCCAGTCCTTTGATTTTATGATTCTTAAATGCCTCTGATTTGTCAGTAGTTTAGCAGTTTTCTGGTAAATATAGTGTCCAAAACTAGACATAATCTTTTAAGTGGATTTGTGCCCAGTGAGCTACTATTACCTCACTTCTTGGTGACTATGTACTTCTATGGGCCTCACTTTTCTCTGTGGCAATAGGGGACAGGATTAGGAGCAATAGACTCATGCTGCAGCAGGGCAGATTTAGATTAGAGATTTGGAGGAATTTGCTGGCCATGAAAGTAGCCAAGCATTGGAATAGGCTACCTAGAGATGTAGAATCTCCATGCCAGGAAATTTTCAAGAGCAGGTTGAACAGACACTTGGCTGGGATGGTTTAGTCAGGGATGCATGAATAAAGGGTTGAACTACGGGACTTTGCCACTGTCTGTAAAGAAAAAAGCAAACAAACAGAAAAACAAAAAGATCAATATCCATAAAGTCTTTTAAAAATGGAGCTGATGGTAGAAAACTAAGAAGCTGTGAGCAGATTGAAGATGTGTTATCAAAAAGACACTGGTCACAAGTATTGATGGACAGACAGAGTAGAGCAGTGCTACCTTGTATCTGCGCAGGAGTGCAGCTGAGCACCCTGCAGGGAGCTCTCCCTCAGAGCTTTGTGGCCTATGGGAGCTTCTGTAGTTTTCTTCCCTTTACAGCTATGTGCTGCTGCTGCTGCATCCCATCACCTGCCTATATAGTAGCTACTTGGCTCAACGGTGGGCAGGGCCACATGGCCTCAGGCAGTCTGAGGCACCAGGTGAGACAGGGAGGGGAGTGATAGGGTCAGGAGTCGGAAGAAGTGGTGGTGGGAGCCTGTGCCAGGATGGGGACAGTTGGCCTAGCAGAGATAAGGTTAGTGTATGGGCTGGTGTGAGGACAACATGATACAGGATGTGGTTGGATGTGGCACGGTGTGGTGGGTGAGTAGGGGACCCCTTGGGTGGGGCCAGCTTGGTGTAAATCCATTGCTGCAATTAGGTAAGTCTGAGAGTCTTTATGGTTGTGTTTTATTTCATATTTAATAGTTAAGTTTTTCTCTAAAGTTGTGTGTTTGTTCCTTTTCCCCAATGTAATAAGCCCTGTTTTAGTTGAATGTTGCTTGCAAGCAAGGAAATTTTCTACATGGTAGAACACCAAGTTAAAATTTATTTTCCCAAGGTCTTGGTGGGTGTTTGACAAGCCAGACATAGAAAGTTGTTGTTAAACCCCTAAATTTGAATCCAGTCCTTGTTACTGTTATCCCAGCCCTGGCAGAATGGTTTTATTTATATTATAGAAAGTGTAAGTCAGCAAAAGCGTGTGTTAGTAGAAAGAAGTTTGGTTGTCAGTAAAATAAATAAATACATAAATCTCTTGGATCCGTAACCCTGCTGAAGACGTCCCTTCCTGCCGTACTTCCCTTCGATTTTATGACGCTCCTATGTTTACTTTGCACATGTGGTTTCAAGCTCTGCATTGACCTAATTTTGCCATAATGGTAGTAAGTAACTAGGTCAGATTAGGAAGTGTCAGTTTGTTTCAGTACAAGTGTATTTGGTATCAGGAAGGCATGTTAGGGATCTTACAGAACTGGATCCCATGAATTTTAAATAAAGCTGAAGTTGGGGGTATGAAGGTACTCAGAACATTTCAGATGCAGGTTGCTAAGTGAGGAAAGAGGTAAAATACTCCGTAAAAGACGCACTGTTAGTTGTTAAGCCAAAACAGTCTCATCAACGATCTGAAGGCCAGAACTTGTGCTGGAAATAGAGAACATTCAAAGTCAGTTAGGTCTGTGGGAAGGAAATAAGGGCAGCAAAATGAAAAAGGAGAACAAAGAAGAGAATTGATGTTGCAAGTGTGTGAAGGAGATTTCACAGTCTCAGTATTTTTGGGTCAGAAAGGTCCACTATAGTCATCCATTCTTACCTCCCTATCATGTAGTCCATAGAATGCTTCCTTGCAGGGATCACAATCATTTTGGGCTAAGCTCACAGTTATCTTTATATCCAGAACAATTATGTAAAAGTTCCAGCATGACACAAATTCTACCCAGTCCCATTCTTACCGCCCAGGCTGTCAGTCTGCTCCTCCAGCTTATCATCCCAGTCTCCTTGCCAACCAGTTGCACTCTCCCCTTCAAACTTCTGATCTTACTACCATAGTTGTTAAACTGCTTTCAGTCCCAGTCTTTTCCTTTCTCCTACTGTTCTTGCCCAGAAATTCCCTGTCTCTCCGAGTGTTTTGTCCACCAAGTCTTGCTTCTGCCTTGTTAGTCCTCATCCAGTCTGTCTGTCTCCAGTCTCTGGCCTTCAGTTCCTTCCACAGCACCCTCTTCTCTGTTCCTGTTGTCTCCCAGTCCCAGCCTCAGTCTCTAAACAATTGTCCAATTTCAATGAGTTGTTCACTCCTTCAGCTCTTTGACCCGGGCTCATTGCACAGCTGGTTGCAGTTCTCCTTCTGTCTTCTGGCTGCTCATCCAAATCTGTTATCCTTCCCCTGCTAGTTCCTTTATCCCATCCCGCAGTTTCTTTGCCCAGCTAGTCCCATCTCCAATCTCGCCTTAACTTCTCTTCAGATCTCATTGCCCCCACCTTTTGTCTCTCCATACTCTCTCATATTTCCTTGCCTGCTCCAGGCCCAATGTCCTTACACACCTCCAACACTTACACACCTCCAACATTTGTAAAGCAACCTAAAGGTGTATATCAAGAGATACATTAGATAAAATAGGGCATCGACAATTAAGAGACCTGAAATATTCTAATGTGTTCCTGACAAGCTATTAACATTTGTTGTTTAACAATAATTATATTGAAAAGTTTGTACATTCCTTTTGGGAAGAAGGCTTGGTAGTATAGAGGAATGGGTAGGCAAGTGTTGAAATGATGTGAGGAAAACATGGGCAAATGCATGCATTGCAGCTACTTCTAGGTAGGAACTTGCTCTCTTCCTTCTTTTTCCCCCTTACACAGCCTGGTTCAGTGCTTCCTGCTCTTCTCTCCTAGAGCAGCTGTGCAGTTCTGACTACATCCCCCACTCTTTATTAGTTAGGAAAGACTACTGTGGTCCTGCAAGCAAAAACCCCTACTTCTACCAGCAGTTCGGCCCAGAGGACAAACTCCACATACTACAATTTTGTGGGGGGAGGGAGGTTCAGTGTGGTGAGTGTCTGGTAACTGTGGCGGTGGGTGGAGTGTGGGGTCATATACCTCACATAGCATCTTCCTTGCTTCTGCGCGTCCCTGCATTGTGGTCAGAATGGAGGGAGGGCAAATTAGTGTCTGCATTTAAGCAAATGATCATGATGCATTTTAGGTACTTGCTCAAGCTGTTGCTTTGCAGTGTGTCTTTCATCAATGGGATTTAGGTGATGTTTTGTTAAAATGGGATTTTCACTTATGTATGTGAGAAAAATGTGAGTGCTTCCTTAATAGTACAACTCTTGGCTTTCTTCCTTCTCAGAGCAGTGTGCGCCTTGTTTCTTGGTTTTCCTTTTTCCTGGAAGGCCCAGCTGACTTCATTATTCTGAGTCTGAATTGCCCAAATCTTTCAAAATAACCTCACTTTCCAGGACTCAAATTCTGGAGCCTGAAGAATTTTTCTATCTGTTCTGCACTAGGACACAGAAGTTCACAATAGGTACAGTGTGAGAGTATGATTAGCCACTCCCTTCCCAATGCTGGACTCCTTTACTAACCAGCATGTTGTGCTTCCTTCCAGGCTGAGCTGACATTTAGTGCCGGGGATATTATCACGGTGTTTGGGTCCATGGATGATGACGGTTTCTATTATGTAAGTACTTGCTAAGGAGGCAGGAAGCAGAATGGAGCTGTGGGCAGCTCATCAGGGTGGGGAGGGGGCAGCTCCTTGCTCCTGTGTGGACCCCCTGGTGGAGGCATGGAGTGGGCATGTACCCCTCCTCCCCGCCACATTTTTGTATGGGGTGGATGCAGGATGCTTGTTGTGGGCTTGGGGCTCTCTGCTCTGTTGCCTTTGCCCCAGGGGCCCTGCACTGGCTGTGGGCCCCCTGCCCACCTGACAGCAGTAGGTGTGGCAAGTTGTGTCTCCTGCTGCCGGGCAGGCAAGAAACACATGGTTGATGCAGGGTCCCCAGGGGAAAGGCAGCAGAGTGGAGAGTCCTGAGCCCACAGCAGGCACCCTGCAGCCACCCTCGCCCCACTTGGCTCTGCTCTGGTTATAAAAGCGTCCCTGCATGTAAAAATGGTGGTGGCCACTCTGAACTAAAGCTCATTTGACAAACTTTAGTTCAAGTGCCCCTGCCACCATTTTTAAGTGCCAGGATGCTGATCCACTGGATGAGCTGCTCCATGGCTCTGGCCTCCTCTCCACCCTGGCCCCATGTCTCATTCACTGCCTTGGCTGGGCAGCATCCCCAGCCCCTGCCCCACTCCCCCCCTCACCATGGGGGCCTTGATCTGCTCCCCTTCACACCTCTTCCCTCCCTCATGCCTCTCGCCCTGCAGGAAGCTGCTCTCTACACTGCCCAGCTGCATTCCTGTAAATAGGTTATTGGATCCGTATCAGCCAATATGGCTTGTTAATAATCGGCTATTGATATTGGCCAAGAAAATCTTAATTGGTGCACCCCTACTACTAAGCATGCTTAATGGGTTGTGCTCTCGCCCAGCAGGTCATATATAACTGTTTCTAGTAAAAGCCCGTGACTTGTGGAGTTAAGAGTTTGGAAGAGGGCTAGCAAAAGTCTGGACTGGGATCTTGTGGTTAGAGTCCTATTCTAGAAAGTGAGAGAACTGAAGATTCCAACCCCTCCTCCCTGGGGTTGTTTTTTTCAGTTATGGCCTATGAGGCAAAAATCAGGATGAATATCAGCAAATTTTCTCCCACTGGGCATGTCCAGACAAGTGTGGACCCATCTGTGGCGCACATGCTGCACATGTGGGCATTCCCTGCACTGCTGCTTTGCAACACCGGGCATTTTTTTGACCCTGAGGTCAAAAAAACCTATGCCTAAAAAAAAATAGGGTGGTGCATGTGGTGTCAGTGTGCATCTCCCAAAACTGGAACCTAGCCAGCTGGAGCCAAGCTCTAGCTGCCAGCCAGGCTCCTTGCTGCAGGAGCACTATGGGTACAGCTCCTGGAACTCCCCAGGATGCCAGAGCACGTGTGGCATGGGCGTTCCCCAGGGACAAGTACCAGCATACAAGGTGTGCCACTGCTGCTTGTCCCTGGGAAAGCACATGTTCCTGCTTGTGGGGATGCGCCCACTGTTTCCAACACAAATGTGGGTCAGGCCACTTTTGTATGGCCCTGGCTGTCAATGTCCATCACTTGCCTAGCCCCATGCCAGAGGTGTTTGCTTATTTATCAAGCCAGTTGTTCTTACTGATGTATCTGAGAACTGCTGTGTTGACCTTTCAGGGAGAGTTAAACAGACAGAGAGGCCTTGTCCCTTCTAATTTCCTGGAAGCTGTGTCTCTGGATGGAGGAGTTTCTGAGGGACTTCATTCAAAAGATAAAGATGCCTGTGCAGTGAGTGTCGAGAGTCAGGTAAGGTGACAGGGCAGCTGGCCAGGGCCAAGAGCTAAGCTGTGAACCTGCTATACTGGTGAGTATGGCGCAGAGCTCACACTGTGTCATGCAGTCTTATTTCATGGGCTTCACACAGAGGCCAGCTAAAATGTTTGGAGGAAAATAGGAAGACCACTCCTTAAAGGCTTATTTAGTGGGTGAGAGCCATTAAGCAAGAAAACGCTTTGGCAACTTACTCCTGCCCTGCACTGGGATAAGTGCAATACATTCAATCATCTGAACCCTGAGGATTTCCAAAATACCACCACCATGAAAAGGGCATTAAGGCCATGAAAGCAACCCATAAACAAAGGAAACTCACAGCATCAGCCACCCCTTTCCCCTCCCCTGTACCCAATGGTCAAACAAACTCTAGAGGGAAATAGTAGAACACTTGCTACCTCTATTGCTTCCTGGAATAACCACCCAGCTCTTACCTGGGGAGGCCTCATTCTGTGCTGACTGTCCTCTGAGCCATACCACTAAAGACAGTGGAGGTCAGTGCCTAGTTTGCCTCTAGGTCTCCAATTGACTGTTCTGTTCTTTAAATTCTGCTGTGGGACATTACTACTACATCTCTTATTGACAGGGTTACAGAGTTGCAAAGTTGTAAATGCAGTTTGGAATTAACAGAAGTATTGTATGCAGGATGCAGGAGATGATAGCACTTTGCTCAGCAGCTGGAGTACTATGTCCAGTTTTGGGCACAACACTATAAGAGGGGATGTAGAGAAACTGGGGAGGATTCAGAAGCAAGAAACAAAGGTGCTAAAGCAGCTGGAATGCAAACCATAGGAGGAAAGGCTGAAGGAATTGGGTATGTTTATTTTGAAGAACAAGAGGTTAAGAGGAGAAATGATAGCAAATTTCAGTGTTTGAAAGGCTGCCATAAAGAGGATGGAGAAAAATTGCTCTCCCTTACTGTGAAGGGCAGGATGTGAAAACACGTGTTAAATGGCCCCAGAGCAGATTTAGCTCAAATCTCAGGAAAAAATGTCCTAATTGTAAGAACAGTGGGACAATAGAATGGGCTGCTTCAAGTGTGCATGGAGTTCCTTGCTTGGAGGTTTTCAAGAAGAATCTGGATAAGCATTTGTCTAGGATGATTAGGCATAGCCAATCCATCTCTGCATGGGGCTGGATTGTCTGACCCTTGAGGTCCCTTGCAACCTGAGGATTCTGTGATCCTAAGAGAATTATGTACAGCATTGTGCAGCAGTCCTGGATTGGTACTGAGGCTGAGGTCATGGCAGGCCTCATGAAAGCAGCTGGAACTACTGGTATTGGTTCAACTTGGTCTTTCCTGGCTTTTCTGCCTTCTGATTTTTCCTGCACCTTCTCTCCCAACTCCAGACCTCCGTACCCCCTTTAATCCTTCTTCTCTCTCTCACCGTCAGCTACCTGCTCTCAACTAACTTGTTTGCTTCTGCCTTCAAACACAGCCTTGTCTTTCTCAGAACCCTCTTTCTCCATCTCCTTCTCCAGCTGTTTCTCCAACTCCTTGCTCCTGATGACTCCAAGTTCTACAGTACAGTGCTCTCCTGCCTTGACTCCAAAAAAAGCAGAGGGATGTTGATGAGCCTGATTTATGTATCATTTCAAATTAAGGTTGGGTAGTTGCCTTGGCTTCTGTCTTGTGTTCCAGTCCCAGCCAAAATCTGAGCCTCCAAAGCTGAACAGTTGTTGGTATTGGATCCCTTTGTTCTGGATTCTGAAGTCTTGCCTGCACTGAAGAGTTGCACTAGTTATGCCTGCAGTTATACTGCATTAGCTAAAACATAATAGTCATATCATTTTAACTCCCTGTGTGGGCTCCTTTTCTGGAATAAAAGCCCTTTTTTTTGTTCCTTCCAAAATGTTCCTCATGCCCCTCAAGCTAAACTCCAAAGAGCCCCTCTTATTGGAATGGGAGTGTATTCAAAGGAGGTTTATACCTGCCTGACTGTAGCAGTTTGAATTAATCGCTTGGCTTATACAGGTCCAATCTTCCCATCTAGCTGGACCATTGGTCATAACATTTTTGCTGCATGTGTGCTCTGGTGCGTGTTACGTTGCCCCGTGTGGGGTAGGGGAGGCTGAGGCCAGCCTTACCTGGGGTCCTGGGGGCCTCCGGGAGCTGCAGCCACAGTGATCCTGCAGCAGTGAGCCTGGCCAGCAATTGGAATGTGACTCTAGCTGGCCCGGCTCTGGTTTCCAGCAGCATGTGCTGTCACCATGTGCAGTCTTGCTTTTTGTTAGGTGCGGGTTTTTTTGATCCTGGGATCTCCCAGCAAATTAGCAGCACAGGGAATCCCTGCATGTGTGGTGTGCATTGCTGCAGACAAGTCTGCAGTGCTGCATACCACGTGTACACGCTCATCTGGACGCACCTCTGAGACTGTTTGGTGAAGCAAAGAGTCCTCAACTGTGAACTCAGTGTTCTTGGAGAGCTTCAGTTGTGGGCGATTTTTATAGTAGCAGGATTTCATGGCTAACAGAATTTCATGTCTCTCTGAGCACGTTTTTCCCATATATCAATGTTTCTCAGCCAGGGTGCCACTGCACCTTGGGGCGTATTGAGATCCTTCCAGGGGTATGGGGGAGTGCCATACAATGTTAGCACTGCTAAGTGTGCAAACATGATTCACAGGATAAACCCAGAGATTTTAAATAGGAATCCATTCTGACCTGTTGTAGTCTTTCTGAGTTCTTTGCAACAGAAGAATTGCTTTATTATTTTTCTTTAGTCAAAAAATTAGTAAAAAATAAGAGGTAGTATTTTCCAAGGGGTTCCTTGGATCAAAGAAGAGGTGCCTTGAGTCTAAAAAGGAGCCATGGCTTGTCCAGGGGGTGTGAGCGGGGGTGGCTCCTACTGCTGCACGCACTCCTGGAGGGCATGGGGGGGCATGTGCCCCCAGATATGCGTGGAGGGGCAGATGAGGGCTGCAGCTGTGGGCTGGGGTTGGGGCTGCATCAGGCTCTTTCCAGCACATGGGGTGGGTTTGGGCCGGGGCTGTGCTCAGGGCAGGCAGCAGTCGCACTGGGAGTGGGGATACAGGGGGCAGGCAGCCACCCCAAATTTTGCTGTAGCCGCTCATAGTCATTGTTCCCCACCCCATGTGCCACTGCCACCCACCCTGAACACAGCCTTCATGTGCTGGGAGTGCAGCCCCCATGCTCTGGGAAGAATCCGGCACAGCTCTGGCCCCAGCCCACAGCTGCAGCCCCTCCTGCCCCCCCTGCAAAGATCCATGGCCACCCCCATCCCCCATGCCCACCTGGGGTGTGCGAAGAGGCGGGAGCCACCCCCCCACCCCATGCCCCCTGGACGGGCTGTGGCTGTCCCACAGCTCACCTTGCCCCAGCTGGGTAGTTCCTGCCTCAGCCCCACTCCCACCCTTACTGTGGGGGGCATTGATCTGCCCCTACAACATTCCTTCCCTCCCTCCCACTTCCACCACAACAGGCTTACCAGCTGCACGCAGCTCTCCAAGCTGTCAGGCTGTGCTTCTCACCACCTATGTGCTGCACTGTGGCTGTGCACATGCACAGGCATTTATCTGCCAAATTATTGGCCACATCAGGCCGATTTCTGATGCAATCAGTTTGCTTTATATTGGTGCTGTTCGATATCAGATCAATGTATCGATGCACCTCTACTTCCTGCAGTACATGGACATGGCTCTAATTCTCCTTGAGCCAGTATAGCATGTATTCTTGACTCAGCATTTCTCTGATATATGTGGACATTAGGGGTGTGCAAAGCAGGCCCTAGTCTATTTGGATTCAGCCCGAATCAGGGACAGTTAATTAGTTGATTTGGATCACTGTCCCTGATTCGATTTGGGCGAATCCGAATCTGAAGATTGGATGCTGATTCGGAGAATCAGCAATTCGGATATAGACACAGCTTTAAATATTTGTTCTACCTACCTCGAGGTACCAGCGTGGCTTGTGAACGCTGTGATGCTCTGGCGCATGGAGCATGCCACAAGAGTGCGGGGGAGGCGCGGCACTCCACGTGCTCGGCAGCAAACCCAGAAGTGGGCCGGAAGTACTTCTGGCCCACTTCTGGGTCTGCCAGGGAGTGTGTATGGGGGGGCCCCCCACGGCCCCCTGGCTTAGCGATCAGCCACGGGGGACCTGGGTGTCTGCCCCAGACCCAGGAGGCATCAGTTGGCAAGCTGCTTCTGGTCCACTTCTGGGTCTGCTGGGGAGCCTCCTGCACTCCTGTGGGACACTCCATGCACCCCAACATCGCAGCACTCATGAACTTCCTGGTACCTAGAGGTAAGTAGAAAAAATATTTAAATCTGTGTATATGTCCAAATCTCTCTGAATCGATTTGGAGAGATTAAAGCATCTTCTGATTTGATTTGGATTTGGAGATTCGGCTGCTGAATTCGGCCGAATCTCCACCAAATCAAATTGGGGACTGAAGCTTCACACAGCCCTAGTGAACTTCCCTTGTGATGCTGCCTTTGCCATCCAGATGAGTAGATGTATGATTTTCCAAATGCGTGCAATGTCACTCTTTTAAGACCTATTTACCACTGCATCTGTTCCCCAGTGACATCACTCCACATTTGTTATCTAAAGTTGACATTTGCTTGCACAGCTACATCAATACCCTATGCTGTGTGTTGCTTTCCATAATGTTGTAGCACCTGGCAGTCCTGTTCAGGCTCTGTTTTGCTAGGCCTTGTGTACAAGGACATAGAATCATAGAAAATTAGGGTTGGAATAAACCTTGAGAGGTCATCGAGTCCACCCCACTGCTCAAAGCAGGACCTTCCCCAGCTAGATCACCCCTGCCAAAGCTTTGTGTAGCTGTGTCTTAAAAATCTCCAAGGATGGAGATTCCACCACCTCTCTGGGTAACCTGTTCCAGTGTTTTACTACCCTCCTAGTGAGAGAATTTTTCCTAATATCTAGTGTAAACTTCCTTTGATGCAACTTAAGACCATTGATCCTTGTTCTGTCATTTGCCATCACTAAAC